ATGTCTTACACTCAGTCTCACCGTGCATTTCAATCTGGCAGCCCAGGAAGCAAGGGATCACCCCACACTACAGCTGGAGCCCCTCACACCACACAAATGGCACCTCTGCCTCAGAACACTCGGCGCAAGACTGATTTGTCCAGGTTCAGTCCCCTAAAGGCCTTTCGGTAGTTTAAGCAAACCCTCAAAAGCATAACAATAGTTTCAGACAAAAGACCACATGGGAAAAAAGTTTTAATCCAAAGCTCTATAGCCTTAACACAAACACACAGGGACATGTTCAAATGTTTGTGTCCTTACTACTTTTGTCTGCTGAGCTTTATTTTGAAAGTCTAAAAGCCAGCCTTGAACACTCAGAGTACTCATTTAATTTGATGACTGATTTTCCAACATTTTTAGCAGTATTAGATTTTCTTGTTAATCAGCATCTGTGCCACAAACAGCATTATGTATTTCATATTTACAGCTTCAAATATTCAGCACAGGGCCATAAGTATTCTAAAAGCTTTTTAGAAAAGCAGAGTGGATTACTGAGTAAAATCAAGTATCATAATACATCTCTGATCTTGTAGTCAGATCAACACGGATCATCTCTCTCCAAACAAAAAGCCATTGGCACTCATTAGTGATTTTCGCAACCCAAATAGATTTCTTTTTTTAAAATAATCACTACAAATACAGTTCTTTTTTATCTTATTTTGTACTCCAAAACCCTAAACAGCTTAGCTCATTTCCACTATTCCAGAGAGCTCTTGGACTGGTTTGTACAAGACCTTGTTTTAATGATACTTCATTATAATAAGGACAAAAACATCTCATTTTGCAATCTCCATATCAAATTTCATGCATGCATAAGTAAGGAATATTCCAAGATGAAAAACTACTCAGGGAGCATCCATTCTCATAATTTGTGCCTTTCATCTTAGACCACTAAGAAGCTTTTACCTAAAACTTAGGTTGCACATGCAGAAACTGGAATACAATTAACACTCTATTATCCATGAGAAGATTATGTAAATTGTGGGTCAAGCAGGGTCAGCTTCTTTTACCGAAACACCCCTGGCTTCCACAAAGTACAGTGCTGCTTCTGGAAGACCCTGTACTTACTATCTGTCACCATTGTAAGACTGACCTTGTTTCTCCACAGAAAGCAATCCACTAATTTTATAAAAGGTCATATTTTAAGTGTATGTATTTATTTATATTACCATTTCTCCCCTCTATCTTCATTATCTTTTCCCTCTCCAAATTAGTTTTATGAATAGCATAGAATTGACTATCTCTAAAACAACTACTCAGATTTTAGATATTTTGATTTAAAAATCCTCTGGAACTCTCTAGTACTCAAAACAGAACTTTATTTGAAATTCTTAACAAACATTTTTGTTCCCAAGTATTTCACAAGCTGTTGGTGACCCCAATGAAAAACAGCTTTCAAGGAAAAACACTGCTATGAACTTCCCCCCTAACCTGTCTTTCCCCACAAACCATGACCACTAGAATAACCAGTATTCCAGAAGTCGAGGGGTTTCCTTGGGAGCCCAGATTGGTAAGGCTGAGTTGATGGAGTCTTCAGGTGGCAAACCAGGGCTGTTCATGGCTTTTGAGTTTTGGGAATTCCAGAGGTTCAGTGGGGAAAGATGAGTTTAGTTTCACATGGGAACAGGATTAAAAGTAAGATAAGGGATGTCAGCAAACAAGTTTCCTCTCCCCACTCATATCACTCAGCAAACATTCCACCCATGGATCTTAAAAAATTGGAAGAAAAAGCATAACCCAACTTTTATCCAAGGTGAACAAGGCATGTTAACAGTAAAGCAGAATGTATAATGAACAACATCAACAGCAGCAATTACAACCAACATCTATTGTATACAAACTTCTTCTAGATTAACAAAATAATAAGCTTCTTAGTGTTTCACTAAGCAGATAAGTGTGTCAAAATCATTGAATGCATTTGGACAAACATAAAACTTCAAAAGAGTGGTAACAGAAGAGGAAAATTACCAGGTCAAAACACAACTTTGCATCTGAGAGGAAGGTGTGGGAAAAAACCTGACACCTTTCGATCTGCCCCAAAAGAACACTGATAACGCGTGTGAAGTTCATGCCTCCCACTTTGAACATACCAAAGTGTCAGTAAATAGCGTACAAGACACTGATATTCTTCAGTCATTGACATGGCTATGAAATGGGTAGATTCTTAAAAAGAACCCAGTTTATGCACTGTGTACAACTGCAGCCTTGATGAAGGGTTCAAGTCAGGCAGTTTTGTAATTAAAAGTAACAGAAGAAATAGAAAAGCAGACAGATTTAAGTGGCTTGACAGACACCAGAGATAAGATCAGGGGACAAAAAGCAGAGTTACTACTCAAATCCTGGCTCTGTGTTTAATAAATTAAATCTCAATTGCATCCTTTACAATGTGTCCCCTTCTGTCTCATTGTCAATATTCGTAAAACATCAGTCTTTGATGCTCAAAGACTCTGAAGCATGTCTGGCTTAAGTGTTCTTTTAGTTGGGTTCTTCTTTTTCCTTTCCTTTTTTTTTCTTAATTTAAACAGAAATTCAGCAATCTCAGATTCAATCATATGAATAGTCTTCTCAGTAGCAAATTCACTGTAAGGCTACAGCTCAAGAGCATTTTAAGCAAACTTAAGCCTGGTATCACCTCTAAATGCTTCTTCACCACATTTGGGGAGGCACATGGGGAACCAGATTGGAGAATCACTCCAGCTGGAAACTAACATAACAAAATTATACCGATTATTTTCAGCCACTATTTTCTTGACTTAGCTTACTGCCTGGCTGCCAAAAAACTGTTTCTTCTGCCAAGGGGTACGCGAAAACAAGGACAAACGCAATAACGAAAGCAACATCTTTTCTTCCTGTGGCAGCAACAACTTATGCCACTGTAAAGTATTTGCGTAGCCATGGATTTAAAAAGGTATGGCATTCATTCCTGCCAAGGCAACTCTTTCTCTGGCTGTGAACTAACCTGTTTGCTAAGTGACTCATTCTTAGGAAAAGCTTTGTTATTTATTTTTTTTAAATAAAACAGTTTCACAGCACTTAGGTAGACAATGGGAGTGAGCACAACTGAACTGGCAGACCAGAGAACACCTCTTTGAGATAAAGAGCTCATTTTAAAGCAAATCTACTGCCAACTAAGTAACAGAACCAGTCTTGGAAAAGGTCTTCGTTCAAAGAGGACACAGATTCCCAAAGGAAGTTTTTGTAAAATTAAAAAATACATATGCACGTGTATTTTTAATGTAAGCTTTAGATTTTAGAAAGCAATGTTGTTTTGCCAGGATTTTGTACCCCACACTTCATCCCCTGTCTCCCCTACCTTTTTTGGCTTTCCTCTTTAAGAGTCAACCCCAAAATATGAACAGTGGAGAAACAAGAATAAACATTTTAAGGAATTTGAAATTAAACATTTAATCTACTTTTATTTTGTTTTTATCACCAAAGAAACTGGTACATGTTTCTGGTACTGACGATGCACTGTAACTACAGCACCTAGATAGTCAAGGCTTTATACTGATGTATAAAAGAAAAAGCAAGAGTGAAAAAAGTTTCCTGTAGAAATAAATAGTTACTATTGCACCCTGGTCTAAGTTTTATAGTCCAGGTGGCAGGTCATGACACCTCTTCAGGTTCAATTTACGCTCCTCAAAGCCTTAGAAAGGTTGTTAGAGCCGCCAGGAATTTGCCTACAGAGCCAACTCCAGCTACAAAGATTACTGTTCTGATTATGTAAAGACACCAATTTAAACTTGAGTACTTTTTAAATGTTAACTCTTGCTATAAAGTGTTTGTGGGCATTCCTGGCCTCAAATCAAACATCCTAGGCACTAAGCAGCACTGGATATGTTCATTACGTTGTTTCAGGGATGTACAAATTAATTTTACTGCCCTCTATAAACATCTATCTGTACAGTCATTTTGCAAATAAAGATGCCAAAGGGTTTCTCTAACTCTAGATTACTGGGGGTTCTGGACTTCACAAGAGCAATTTTTGCTCACTAAATCAACAATACTGCTCAATCAAAAACCTGACTTCCTCACACTACCTAAACACTCCAGAATTGCACTTAAAATAGGAAAGAGAGAAAAGCCATTTCAAGACTGCCTATTCCACATGTTCTTTCTAGTCAGCAGTTCCAACACCAGCACCACTGTGATTGCAGCCAAAATCCCATGGAAACTGTCAGGTCTCGCAGATCCACAGCCTCCTAACTTCCTAATGCTCAGCTCTGGGAGCTCAAAACAAGTCGCTAACAACTACAACACACGGTAATGGAAAAACAGCGCACATGGCTTCTGTTGTTACTGTTCATCCTGTTGGCCAAAACCAGGTATATAATTAGGCAAGCAGAACAGGCACGTGCATATTAAGGAAGCTTTAGAAATGTAAAACAGTGGCTAACACCTCACTCCCAATAAAACACTGTGCTATGAGACAATCCCTGCTTTATAATCTGCCCAGAGGATGGGAAGGAAGTAGATTTTTTCCTCTTCCCCTCCCCTCTCAAGTTAGAGTTAAAACCTGCATCCATCTCTGACACAAAACCATGACAAATAAAAGCCACGCAGAAATTACTGCTCATACTTCTGCTCAGCCCTCCTCTTCAACAGAGTTACACCAAGAGATTTGCTCTCCTCCTCAAGATACATGGCTCACCAAAAAGAAAATCCAACTCATCCCACACGCTACCCTCTCTAAGTTAAGCCTTGGTACAACAACTACATTAACACACAAGAAAGCGTTCAAAGGCTCGATGGCATCTAACAAAACACTCTAGTTTCAGTGAACGACAAAGTTAACTATTCTTTCAGTACCTTTTAACGACCAAGTAACCTGGTCGAACAGTGGCAATGAAGTCTGCAATGGCAAATAGCTGTGCCTTTACCTACCCCGCAAACAGCAAACACCACAATCACACTGACACAAGCCAACTGTATTTCATAAAAAAACCCCGCGTCACTCGTACCGGCAGGTCCACGCTGACATCCGTCCCGTCCAGCAGCGCTACTCGGCAGGTGATGATGGATTTCGCATCACCAGCCGCAGGGATGTGGGTGGCGGCCCTTTGGGCCTCTCTCAGCCGCTCCTTCTCCGCATGTTTCCGCATGGACCGCCGGCCCAGCGTGCGGCGGAAAAAACTCAGCATCTTTGCTGTGAAATCCAAGAGAGAAAAAGAACACGTTAGCTTCTCACAGGAAAAAAAAAAGAAAAAAAAACCAAACCTGCACTAAAAGTTCTTAGAAAATACCAGACTTTGATAAAGAAGTGTCAGAGAGTCAAACAGATGTTCCACTCTGGTTTAAATACCCGCAGCCTTTGGCTACTTTTGAAAACAAACAAACAAACAAACAAACAAACTACAACCCAGCTCAAACCTTTGGCGGGGGTTGGGTTGATTCCTTTGGGACGAACTAAAAGTACTTTTAGGAGAAAAAACAGCGATCGCGTAGATCTCCCACAATTACGTGCGATCTTCCCCTAAAACAAACTCTCCCTCGCACTCCAGCGAGGCGAGGATGTTCCCTCAGAACTGGAAAGCAACTGAGCGCTACATTCCACCGGCTACTTTCCTGGCTGACACACTCCACCCCTCATGGAAAACAAGCGATAAGCGACCCCTTCCCGCCCCGGAGCGGCGCGTGCAGTTTTTCCCACAGTTTTTCCCCCTCGCTCTGCCAGGACCGGAGAGCGCCCCTCGGGCACAGCCGTTCCCGTCCCGCCGGGGCTGCGACCGGCACCGGGACGGCCCCTCCGGGCCGGGCAAACAAACACCCGGAGCCCGGCGGAGACAGCGCCGACCCCGCGGGCGGACCCCGCCGGGACGCGGCCGCCGCCCCGCTCGGCCGCCCCTGCCCTTACATAAGGCCCGCTCGGCGGCCCCGGGGCCGGGCGGTCTCACCTGCCGGGCGGCCCCGCGGCGGGAGCGGCGCAGCCGGGGCGGCCGGAGCGTCCCCGCCGCGGCTCCTCCAGGCCCCGGGGGCGGGCGGGGGGCGGCGAGGGAGCCCCGGCAGGGGCCGGGCCGCCGGACATGGCGGAGCGACGTGGGAGGCCCTTAAACGGGCGGCGACGCGCCCGCCATTCCCTCCCGCTCCGTGCTCACTCACCTGGCGGCTCCCGCGGCCGCGCTGTCCCTCTGGGCCGCGGCGCGGGGATGAAGGCAGAGGGCGGCGAGCAGGGAAGGCGGCAGCCGGACGGGAGAGGAAACCCTGTGCTTCCCGCCGCGCCGGGCGGCCATCGCCCCTTTAACGGGGCGGAGCGAGGCAGCGAAGGGGCTCCCCCTTCCCGTGCCAGGTGGTTTCGCCCGGCGGAGGGGCCGCGGCGGGGGGCGCGGCGCTGACCACGAGCTGATGGGGGGGGAGATGGGAGCGGCCGGGAGCGGTGGGGCAGCGCTGGCAGTGGGGGGCAGCCCCCGGGCACTGACCCTGCGGGACGCGCTTCCAACTCTTTCGCGCAGTGTCTGTAGTTTCTGCTAACGCGTCGTAGAGGTTTAACTCCGCGGCTCGGCCAGGAGACTGTGACCTGCCTTCGGCTGCCCAGCGAGGACCGGAACCTTCAGGCAAACACGCGCTTAAACCATTAAGTTTAGAAGCAAATCGTCTCTTCAAACGCTGCCTGAAAGGACAGCGGGAGCAGTGTATTAAATAAAGCAGAGCCGTCTACCCACGAACACTGTTATTACTTATACACTGAAATTCGCGACTACAAAATGTAGTTTGTATTCTAAGGTCCTTCAAAAACACCGGAACAGCCTGTCTGGGTGATCCGCGGTGCTTCTGACACTTCTCTTATGTGTTACTCCAGTCCCCGAGGACAAGCCCTGCTCCTTGGCAGCAATTACAAAGGGCTGCACCTTACCGTGTTTTTCTTAGTACATAAATCTTTGTGTCCAAGACAGTATTTGAGATCTCCAAATGGAAAACTTTAGGAAAGGCAATACAAACTCTGCGTGCATAGTGCCAGGTAACAGTGACAAAGCTCTGAGTAAAGGAGCTTTAATTTCCTTAAAAATCCCAGGATAACATAACAGTCTGGGAAAGCAGAGACTTTGGCTAATGATAACACAGCATTTTCTATGCTCAGCTCTGAATCCCGGGCTGAGATAATCAGTCACTTACCTGACACGCAGAGGAGCTGGCATAATGAAACCCCCATTATTAGGATGCCATGGCACAATCAGCTCCAGTTACCTTCATGTCATCTGCTGAAATGGGGGGAAAAAACCTTCCAGGTAATTGCCCACAATTTGCTGAGAAAGCAACAGGCTGATTTTCATGTTAAATATCTGTGTTGACAGCTGAGCAATCCTCCCGCCCCAAGCAGGAGCAAGGCAAGCTTAGGGGAAAGGTGTGATTCAGGTTTGTGCCTGATTATTTATTCAAGAACATAAATCACAAAACAGGAGGAATTTAGGTACTTTCTATCAGAGTCTTTTGCTTGCTCCTGGCAGTCTGTCATGAAATACATGTGGGAGCTTGCAATAAAGTTCCCAAAGAAGCCATACAAAATCTTACTATATTTAATGTGGAAAAAATAATTTATCTTTGTGATTTCTGATGAATTCTCGGGGTAGATCAACTAACTGATTGTTTGGATGTCAAGCTGCTTAGTTTGTAGTGGCAATCTGTCAGGTAAATAAATGAGAGTTCTCCATGCTATTACATCTACATGATTTCACATTTTCCTATTAGAAAAAGAATTCTGGAGAGTTCCCTGATTCTTGGAGGTTGTTCCTAAATTTTCTTACCATCTTCAACCAACTATTTCCTCAAATTGAGCTTCTTTCCACTCTGTCACTCACAAGCTCCCATGTTGCCACCAAGAACTCCCATTATTTCCTTCCTGTAGCTTCAGCAACACAGAAACTTCTGCTCATTTTTGTGCTTCTTACTTCACACCAGCCTCTTGCTACTCTTTGTGTAATTACAGTCTACTCCTTCCTCACTGCTACTCAGATTCAGTCCAGTACATGCACATTCAGCTGTGGTATCTCTGACTTGTCTTCTATCCAGTCTTCCCATGCCAAGTTTAAACAAACCTCTTCCTACTGAATGCCACTTTTCCGTTTTTCTCCTTGAAATGCTTTCCCATTAGTTTATCTTTTTGTACTTCAAACACCTTCTCCTCACAGTCAAGTCCTACATTAATCAGTGAAATTTAGAACATACAGGGATCTCCTGGATGCCCATCCTTCCTGAGATTTTTGTCTTGCCTCTTAAGTCCTCTCATCATCTTTTCCCACTTTTACTTTGAACCATCCCCTCACTTTTTGGCAGCAAATATTTCATCACAAGCTTCCATCTGGAATTTTTGTTCTTTGCATCAGCATTCCTCATACCATCAATTCTGGGATCAGACTATAATCTCTATTGAACACTGTCTCCAAATCACTCACTGTATAAAAGGTAATTAAAAACTTTTTCTTCCATCAGAGAAAAACTTTCAGTATAAAATTTCATGGGGAAAAACGTGGGCTGACACTGTAACCAAAGAATTTAATTCCTGATAATTTAGCATCCTCTTCTAGTCCTCTATCCATAGGGATGTATTTATGACATACAATGTCAAGAAGTAAAATACGATGTGAACATTACCTGGCATCAGACACGTATACAGGTAGCACAGCAAACCCATGTGTAGACCAGCAAGAAAATCACACAAAAGAATTAAACTTTAAATTACTAAAGCACATCTTTATTTTGCAATTAAACAATTAAGATCCACAAGTAAACTATATATATATTTTCAAGTCTGTACCTAGACAACTATTTGTCAACTGAAATTAAATATATCCACAAAATATGCATAACAGCATTTTTTCACATAATAGAATGAAATTTTACTTAAGACTAAAACAAGACTTGTTAAATGTTAATTAGCATATTTATCCTGGGAACTGCTGGTTTTCGGTAGAAGTTAGTGTATCATTTTAATGGCAAGAAATTTCATTTTATCAAAATGAGGACAAATACATAAGGCCCTTTAAAGCATACAGTAGCTGCAGTGACAAAAGCTGAATTTATTTTCACATTGTCCAGTGTTGACCAATTTCAAGTTTCCATCGTTTTCCATCAACACCCTAGCTGTTTAGCCAAGATGGTGCATTTAAGTTGTTGGTTTGTTTTTTTTTTCCTCCCCCTCATGTGCTTTTAAACAAATTTATAGGCAAAAGTCTACTTATGGGAAGAACCTTTGCATCCCCCCAGCATTAATAAAGATACACAAGAGTTAGTCCAAACAACAAAAGAGCTATACAACTCTGAGATGATTTACTCCACACTTGCAGTCCATCATTCACCAGTATGAAACTGAGATGAAATTTGACAACTGAAAGCCGCAGCTGGAAATGCAAATTAATTACCAGAAGTAACTAGCAAATATATTGCCACCATCTGATTGTTAATAATGATCTAAATAATATTCTTCCCTTTGTATTTATACATAGTATAGCACCTGTTACAGAAAAAAAACCCCAAACCTTACACAAACAGCCCTGCCAAACTGACTGGTTAAAATGGGATCACTGGTAAATGAAGCAAACCAAATGGAAAACAAATCTGGATACACTGGATAAGATAAAACCTTCACTCTCTTACCTTAATTTTCCTGTAAGATTATTATGGGTTGTTACTGTGGTGCCCCAATGTACCAAGATAATCTGCACTGGATCATTTATAGTCTAGTCTTTGTGGATATATTCTAGTTAAAGAAAACAACAGCTCAATGTAAACTGTTTAACCCTTTCACTCATGTCTCAGGCCCCTGGCCTAGGTGTAAAAGGGTGACTTCTTTAAACTTTGTTGTGCATTATCTTTAGTTACTAAAATTCAAATAAGTTAAGTAAAAAAAAAAAAAAATACTGATTTCCAGGTAATTGATCTAAATGTTAAAAATAATGCTTAGCAGAAACATTTACAGTAAACATAGCTAATTTGCAGCTCGCTGAGAGAGATCACAGAGATAGATTTACAAGTACCCTGTAGGCTTCTATTTGCACCTTTTTTTTTTTCCTTTCCCTCCCACCCCCCCAAATGCAGGCTTCATATTCTTTTTAAGACAGGAAAACTGAGATGATAGAATTACCTTATTAATATCTATTTCTGAAAGTCCCTCAGAAACACACGAACAATAAACAAGAAATGGCTGGAATAACAGAAAGCATTAGTACCAGGGTGTAATCCAAATCATCTCTGCCCAGAAACCCATCAAGCATCTCTCTCCAACCCCAATTTATTTTGTCCAATAGTTCAGTCAGTAGTAAGCATGAAATAAAGTGCTACTATTCAAACATCAAAACACTTTGAGAAAGATTACTCTTTAAAATGTGTAAGCTTGCTAAATACGAAATACCACAACCAACAAGCTGTCAGCCAGTCCACAGAAACATAGTTGATGCTACAGCACACCAGAATCAGAGATATTTGAGTGACCTTTTCTTAAATGATGCTACTAATCAAAAAGTTTAAATTTTTAAAATTGAAAACTTTAGAATTTTTTTGGAAAGAGATTTATGTCTCCTTTTTTTCCACTGAGCACTCAATGAGCAAAACATGCCAAAGCCAGTAGCCA